TAAGCCAACAGCAATACTACCTCTGAAATCTTACTTATCACAATATTGAGATCATGTAGACAGTGAGAGACACATATCACACTCATTTCCTTGCTCCACATTGAGATGGAAATCTCGAAATCCCGTTATCCAATCACACTTATAATAAAACTTACTAACATAACATCACGCCCTTTATCCCCGAAGGAGTAGGCAGAGGTGCACATTATGCCACTGTAAAATGTAACACCCACTTTTCACTATTTATGTTATGAGTCCCTTGTAATAGGGGGTGAGGCTATTGCCATATACCGGGCACAATTCCAGACTCCGTACTACTACTGAGATTTTTTAAAAACCCAATAATACTTTGCCCAACCTAGGAATCGAACCCAAGACCCCTTGCCCGGCAGGCGCACTTGCGACTACACGGCCAACGGTGCAGTCTAACCTAATATAATCTAATAAAACTTACTACCATACAAATAAGACATATGTGACATTTCATTTCTTCTAAAAACGTAATCCTGTCCCAGACAGTATTAATCCACAAAAGCGCTATTACTGAGAGACAGCAAAATTTGAAGGTACGTGAAACCTTAATAGAGGGTTGCGGAAATTATGTCTGGACGAAACGGTCGGTCGGTGTAGGTAGTGGGAGATCGGGTGCTGCACTTCTTTGTGTGGTCCACATAGTTTTTATTCACAAGGAGGCTAAATTTGACTATGAGGAACATGAAACTTTGTGTCACTAATAATCAATTTCATAGTATATTGTGAATCCGTTCATAAATACCACATACAATGTTGAATTCTATTAAATAAAACACAAAAACTTACTTACGTAAATAAGAAAGTGAGATAACATTATCTTGCACCGCCGAAGCAATTTGTAAGGCGCAAGAAACTGATGAGGATCTTAAAAAACGTCTTACTATTGACATCAAAAGGTTAAAAACTTGTAATTAAAAAAAGTAATTTAAAAGATTTCTCGCGATAGTCAGTTAAGTATCTAAAAAATCCTAACGTTCATGTGGTATTTCCTTAACGTCTTATTTAAAGCGGCTAAAAGTTCGATCTAGATAGGAAACGGACCACACTGGGATGTCTCACTCTGTAGGGAATCGCCTATCTCGGATCTCAAAACCGGCGGATGCATTTAATTATTATTTTAAAACCAAAGGCCTCGGCCGGTCAACACCGAATGACATTTATTTTTGGACACCGAAATAAGATAAGAATTGAAAAAATCTTCCGACCATTTTGTTTGTACTTTAGAAAATAATATCGAGTTGAATAGGGATTTATTATATGCTTTATTTGCCGATCAAAACATGTTAAGTATCTTTATTATTTGTACTTTCATTAAACATTTTAGTACAACCCTTAATTGCCATAACGTGCACAACTTTCAGGTCAACTGAACTTTTTTTATTACCTAACTTCCCAATATTAAAATACTAGCTTTTACGCGGCTTCGCTCGAGTCACAAAAGGATAAAAAGTAGCCTATGTGACATATACCAATACATACAGCGCCATCTATACCAATACTTTTGTTTTCCCTCGGGAATATCAATTTTTTTCGGGATAAAAAGTACTCTATTATTTAATCCAGACTTCTAACTTTACGTCTGCAAAATTTTAAAGCAATCGGTTTAGTAGTTACGGCGTGAAGTCGGAACAAACAAACAAACAAACAAACTCACTTTCCGATTTATAATATTAGTAAGGATTCATATTTAACACAAAAACATGGAAACTAAAATCTGGTATTCAGTTAAAATGTTTCGACATCACATTTGTCTAAATTGAATTTCGAGAGACGGTAAGCAAAATTTTTCGCGTCTGTGGTTTACCGAAATATTGGATTTGCCACACTCAAACTGTGTTTAATTCCGGATTTTACCTGTTTGCTGTTTCCATGCAAATAATATTATTATGTAAACGCTCTGATATTAACTTCAGTATTCGTTACACGTTGACCGCAATTCGGATCCCGCGTAGGTTTAAATATATTTCGATGGTTTCTTCGTTAAAACATGTATAATATTAATGTTTGATTTTAATAACTTGACCGACTGTATGCACTCAAATGCATTATTATCCTGTTTTGTTAGACTGCGTCACGTATAACCACAGTAGTAATATTGAATTAATTGCTTTTATTGGTTAATTTTACTAAACTTTTATTCACGTTACGTAGGTAAGTAATGCGGTTCTGAACCTCACTGTTAGCGGTTATATTAAAAATAGTCAAACCGAGTTTTATTAAGGAGTTTTAAGTTTCAGGTTTCTTTGCAACTGTCACCCATTAGTTTTGCGTTCTTTTATTAATCCTCATTAATAGAGACTAGTGACGAAATGGAAGGTAAATGTTCTTTATACATTGCAAGCGGTACCCCGTTAGGGAAAAACATCCCCGATGTTATTCGAACCGTTCCACAACTTGATGAGAGGTTCAGGATAACCGTCGGTTCTCGATTTCGATTTCGTTTCGCATTTGTGAATTGTTGTATACCTATGCACATTTGCCTCGAGGCCTCACGTGAGCCCCCGGACGTTTTGGGGTAACTTTCTCGTGCAAATTCGGTTCACCCTCGCTTCGGGTATTATTTTTAAGGTTGATCTACATACGTAGGTAGTTAGGTTTTGAATTTCTCCATAACGCTGTATTGTACAGTTAAAGTCAAAATATTTTAAGTCTAAAACATATTTAAATCGTTTTACGAATGCTTTTAAACAATCATTATTAGATCACATTACATTCGTAAATAGAGTAAAATTGTCTCTTGTAAGCAGTTTAAAAATATAAAAATTAAAAAACTGCGTTTAAAAAAACCGACTTCAAAAACAAATGACAAACAAAAAGTAAAAACTAAAAAGGAAAAAAAACTATTAGTGGTCATACGTACTTATAGCTTACACACCCACTGATAGGTTAGAAGTCGGTGCCACAAGTTTTAAACAAAATTATTCATTAAAACCTTAATAGATACCTAACATTATTGAGCTGTTTACAATTTTATTATGGATTATACCAGCTGTGACTTTTGTCTACTTTATATTTTATTGGGGGTTTGTGGCACCGACTTCTAACCTATCAGTGGGTGTGTAAGCTATAAGTACGTATGACCACTAATAGTTTTTTTTTCCTTTTTAGTTTTTACTTTTTGTTTGTCATTTGTTTTTGAAGTCGGTTTTTTTAAACGCAGTTTTTTAATTTTATTTTATACTTTTTAGTTTAGTACTTTGATATATATTTTGATATATATATTTATACAAAACCCACATGGATGCAAAGTTTTCATCAATACAAATTATGCAAGTTCAAACACCAGGTGGGTACTCTTAACCATTGAGGAGTCCCTTAGCTATCATACTACTTCGTCATTGGACCTTTAATGACCATCACCCCCCCCCCCATCTAGGTGTAAAGTCCTCATCAATACAAATTAATCAAACCTAAACACAAAATAGCTACTGTTAACCGTTAAGGAGTTCCTTCAACTATCGTACTACTTCATCATCAGACCCGTATTAACAATTACACCCCACTCAGGTGTCAAGTCCTCATCAATACAAATTAATCAAATCCAAACACAAGGTAGCTACTGTTAACCGTTGAGGAGTTCCCTCAATTATCGTACTACTTCATCATCAGACCCTTATTGACAATTACACCCCACTCAGGTGTAAAGTCCTCATCAATACAAATTAATCAAACCCAAACACAAGGTAGCTACTGTTAACCGTTGAGGAGTTCCCTCAACTATCGTACTACTTCATCATCAGACCCTTATTGACAATTACACCCCACTCAGGTGTAAAGTCCTCATCAATATAAATTAATCAAACCCAAACACAAGTTAGCTACTGTTAACCGTTGAGGAGTTCCTTCGACTATTGTACTACTTCATCATCAGACCCTTATTGACAATTACATCCCACACAGGTGTAAAGTCCTCATCAATACAAATTAATCAAACCCAAACACAAGGTAGCTACTGTTAACCGTTGAGGAGTTCCCTCAACTGGCTCTCGGCTCCATCATCAGATCGGCTCCAGACCTTTATCAGATTGTAGTGGTTTTTAATACTTAATGAAAAAATTAACAAATGCCCTAGTCACCCCTATAATTTTTAAAAGTTCCCCTCGGTTTCCCTGGTCTTCCATCATCAGATCCTGATTTCTTTATCATGGGACCATTCTGGAACTATCTCCTTTCTAACAAAAAAAGAATTTTCAAAATCGGTTTATAAACAACGGACATATCGGCGAACAAACATAAAAAAAAAAAAAAAGCATATATACGGTCGAATTGAGAACCTCCTCCTTTTTTTGAAGTCGGTTAAAAATACTAATCAATGACTAAATCTCAAATAAAGACGAAGGTTATTTAATGTAATTAAAATTTAGCATAACTCCTGATGAATTTATGTAGACGGCGTGAGCCAGTGGCCCTGGCCAGACAATGAGTGTTCGTGGCGAAAAGCTATAAAACTTTTATATTTAATTAGTACACTGATGATAACGTAAATTAATTGCCGGCTACCGATTTGACACGAGTCTTCTTGAACTCTTCTACAAAATCATTATACCGTGTAGATTTTTTCCCTCCCTAGACATTTATGTTATCTTGATTCTAAATTGCAACTTAATGCAAGCACGTTATAATTGTTTTTTCCTTGAATGTATCTACACACAAAAAATCAATTAACTAGCTAAATGTGTGTTCATTTGTCAGGTGTTGGATGAGAAATAATATCATAACTTTAATCTGTTCAATCTAGATATTTTTATTGCAAATAAAATATTAACTTTGTTCGTTAGATATGAAATGATATATTGCAGAATATTTTACGAGTTTCACATTAAACAATTTCAGTTTTCGATGAATGTAACTGCGGTTTAGTTACAGTTACACAATAGTTTTGTTTTATAAAATTAAGGTAATTAAATTTTACAATAAAGCTTTATAAAGCGCTGTATAATTATATTAATAATGTTTTTCTTTTGCAGGTTATACGGCTCAAAGCGATGTGCTCGCTGCAATACCCCAATCTCTGCTTCGGAACTAGTGATGCGTGCTCGGGACCTGGTGTTCCACGTGCACTGCTTCTCATGTGCTCTATGCAGCACCCCACTGAACAAAGGAGACACCTTCGGCATTAGAGATTCAGCAGTTTACTGCAGGTTGGTGCTTGTGAAATATTTGTGGTGAATTGCGAGATTTAATCCAAAATGAATGAAGACATAGAAAAGATCCGACTGCCTCAATGGCCGACTAGTCGCAAGTGTGACTGCCACGAGCAAGGGATCTCGGGTTCGATTCCCGGTCGGGCAAAGTATTACTGGGATTTTTAAATAAATTCTGAGTAGTAACACGGAGCCTGGAAAAGGACCATGGCAATATGCTCACCACCCATTACATGGGATTCACAATATTAATAGTGAAAAGTGGGTGTTACATTGTGCAGTGGCATTAAGTGCCGTAATGTGCTCCTCTGCCTACCCCTTCGGGGATAAAAGATGACGTGATGAATGAAGACAGAACTTGACTGAAGTTTATAATATTAACTGAAGAACGTCAAAACTTAACTAACTAGGTAACAGTTATAAGCAACTTAAAGATCAAAAAGGCGAGCAATGTAGGTATGTATGTAGTTATCAGAAATTTCTAAGCTTTCTCAGTGTGTAAGTCTGAAGCAACTCAAAGACGTAACAATAAACTTACACGCCGTTCACGACCCAGTTTCTAACAGAATGCGGCAAATGTTCCACTATTCAATGAATTAAACCGCTATATTCAGTTTCAAAGCTCTCTAACGAACTTATGTTTCAGCGGAATTTTCCCACTTCGAGTCTTAACAGAGTTTTGTTTCGCAGGCTGCACTATGAGACCATGCCGGACTACGGCGCACACATGGCCGTACCAGGCCCACCACAGATGTGTCCAGTGCCCTACGCTGCGGGGCCCGCACCTGGACCTCACTACCCCCCGTACCCTTCCCCAGAGTTCGCTCGCGTGGACAATGATGTTCCTAAAGGTCCGTTCTTCAACGGCTCCACAGCGCCCCCTCCCCGACAAAAAGGACGACCCCGAAAAAAGAAGCCCAAAGATCAGGAACTGATGGCTGCAAACTTAGGTGAGTGTGAGAACAATGCCCCAGCGAATTCATACAGCGAACTTATATACATTTAAATAATTTTTAATCGTCATCGCATGTTGCCATCTTGTCGGCTTTACATCGAACATCGGCCCTCGTTTCGCCGACAAAACGCTAACAATTTTATTAACACATTAAAGTCAAAACCGCACTTACCATCGCCAGATTATTGAAGTGACTTCCCGTGAGTTTGTTCTTTTTTAAATTATTTTTTTATCGAGATACAGAAACCTGTCTTTATCTGGCCAGTTCGGTCGAGCGACGGGAACTCTTTCAAATTTGAAATTAGTACGTTGCGTGCACGCCGAGAGAGCGATGAAATAAATCTTCAAGCTGCGGTAGTGATTGAAGTTTAAGGAAACCATAACTATTTTTTGACAAAACCATTATTTTGTAACAGTGATGATAGGGATTTTAGTAAATAGACGTTTAGTTTTACTGACACCACCGTACCTTAGGACGTCGACTTTTTTATCAAATCTGTATAATTAATTTTAGCGTTTGTATAAGCGTGTTTATTCCTGATCAGATCTTAACGAAGCCATTTAAAGGCAAATACACTCCCAACTAAACATTCCACAGGTAGTGTGAAACATAAAACGTTGGCACCTGAAATTCTGAGCGAACAATAAAGTAGTTATAATCGCGGCAAAGTATTACTACCTTTACAAAGGAACCGTGTAAGTTTTTGCTTTCATTACGTACTTGCATAGTTATTAATTATAGCTCATAAAAATAGCCTATTTATGCGGTCCAATAGCTACTGTATTGTAACATAAGCGTCACGGTTTATTTGATATGCGCAGAACGCAGCACTCTAAGCGGTACTGCGGTACACCGATTGATTAAAGATAAACTTTAATAATCACCATTAACTTTAACTCAGTTGTAGTTCGCACAGGATCGGTTTTTGATGTTCACCATAAAACTTATGTTGGATACTTTAATAAAATGGCTCTAAGTTGTAAAATAATAATTTTATTCGATGATTCGGACCTTTTATGGTTTTTATTCTAGGTTTTTTCTCATCTCGTCTTTAAAGTGGGCCTCTCATTTTTTTAAATTCTATAGAAAATTATGACGATATTTTAACTTTTGTAAGACGTTCTGTACCAGACTTACGAAGTCAAATAAACTAGATCCTCACTATAATTTTACCTTAAAATCATAGCTCTGAGAACATTTTACAATTAGAATAGTGTAATTGTAATATTAAAATATCCCAACCAAGTAATTAACAATAGACATTACAGAAGACGTTTAAATATTTAATTAGGCTTTAAAACTTATTTCTTTGAACTAGGTGGATTTATTTATGACGGGGTAAATCTTTTCAGGGATATAAATATAATTTAACTTTAGCGATATCGTTATATTTATTAAGTTATTGACTGCCGACAGACAACTGTTGAAAGCAAGTTCTCCACTAACATAAGTCACCGTTGACCTAAGCAGTGGTTTACGTGTTAAGACGGGTATTGATATTTTATTTTCGTTTTTAATAACTTTCCTTGTCTATAGATAGTTTATAGAATTTCATGCGACATATTTCTTGTGTGACACCATGAAGTGTAGAAAGCCTAAAAAATAATAAAAAAATAACTTACAATTTAAAATGTTCTTATATCGTACCAAAACAAATAATTGTCTAGCGGGTCGGCCAAAAATGTGTCAATTTTGTTATTTTGTTCTAAATCTCGGCAAATGGTCTAAAATAGCGTTGGAATTGGAACCTGTTTCTCACGTGCGTTGAAGCAGTTTGCGTGCTTCAAGTTCATCATACTCTCACCATTTCAATGAACCGAGCTATCCTCTCAGGACTTATTCTAGTAATGTCTAGGGACCCTAGACACGTTTTTAGGGAGACAAGATCATTCAAATTTAGAATTGTAGATTGTTTTTTTAATTGTTTATCATAAACAAGGGGAATAAATTCTTGAGTGCCAATTATAATTTATAGTTGATTTTTAAACTGTCAAACACCAAGCGGTCACCGGTGACCGCGACCTATTGTTCTTTAATTGTGTCTATAAAACCGGTACTCGACGAGTTAAACCAGTAATTGTCTGTTATGCATATTCTGATTATTATTTAGAGTGGTGTTCATATTAATAATAATCTCAGTCAATTTTCTGACTATTTCAAGTGGTACTTACTAAATGATTATATTGCTTTCTTAAAAGTTTGTTTAAAGGTAAAATAGGTTAAAATAATTTTATTTTGGAAATTAAAAAATATGATGTTAAGAGCATTATTAAGATATTCGATACAATTATAGTATTTCTTCAGTAACGTACTAACCTGTATCATTGTTTATAATGGAATTACTATCACGCTGAAACAGTCCCAGTGCTAAATAACAGCGTAAGCCTATTCGTAAACCATCAATGAAATAATTTTAACATTATTAGAAAAAACAACACGCTTTATATTAATTAACACAGACAGTGTTTAATACGTTACGAAATAAATAAAAAGTGGAGAACTCCACAGAAGTCAATGAGTGGCGACTTATGAACAATTTTTTTCTCATCTATTGTCGGAAAATAACAGGCAAGTTCGCGTGTTCGTACTATATTAACCTGGAATGTGTAACATGCATCTAAATAACCTGGTTACAGCAACCATTGTCATGTGGAAGAAAGCAAATTTTTTGGTTTATTGTTCACCAGTGAACAACCTGGGAACTTTGGTTTACATTATAAGTTATATTAATTTATTTTTATGATATAATATTTCAATTTATCAATAAATTAAATTATAGACTGATAAGTTCTTGTGCCATATCCATTTTCTGACAGTAATATTTATCGTTCCATGTAGCTTTACGTAGTATAAGGGGTGAGATTATTCTCATGCTCACATCAAAGCTTATTTGCCAAGATTCTAATATCATACCTGGAGTAGGCACTAAATAACTTTTCATTAAAAAAACGACGTCGTCGTCACGATTTTGAAGTGAATACAAACGTATTTTGTTTGTGCGAAGAATAATTCGATTAGGATAAAATACTTCTTCCACATGTAACTTTAAAAGTACCAGACAGAAAAAAAGAATGTCTAGAACTCTAGACAGCCAATCTCTTAATGGCTGAATATAAAATCTAATCTAATGATTTTACTAATCAAATCATTTGGAAGTAGACGTACATATACGAAAGAGGTGCATCGAGATTGAAAGGAAATGTCGGGAGAGGGCGCTCGAGGCGAAATTACATTAGCCAAATTGGTGATGTGCAATAAGGCCAAATCGAAACCACAACACACGAGCATGCACGAATAGATTGATTGAAATGGATGAAGCGAGGGAAGTACCAAAAACGAATACGTTTTAACCCAACTATACAAGCACATCTATTATATAACAGGCAAGCGTAATTACTAAATCACTACATAGTATTAAACAAAGTAGCTTTACACTGTTTTTCCCCATGTAGGTATGCGTATCTTTAAAACTGCGCAACAGATTTTGATGCGGTTTTTTAATAAAGTTTCGTATAGTAATTAAAGAGTTATTGTGTTTAGTAAAACCTTAACAAAGCGTGCGAAACTGTGGGTGAGAATAGACCTTTATATTTCGGCGACCACATCATCTCTTACCACTAGGCGAGTTGGTGGCCCAATGCCTCTTATTAACATTAATATTAAAAGTCTTTTATAATTATATATGTATAAAAGACAAATAAACTAGATCCTAACTATAATTTACGTTAAAATCATAACTCTGAGAACATTTTTTAATTCAATTAGAATAGTGTAATTGTAATACTAAAAAATACCATCTATGTAATTAACAATAGTCATTACAGAAAACGTTAAAATATTTAATATCTTATTATTTCCTTCATTTAATTTTAAACTTGACTTATACATTTTTAAATATTTGATTATAAAAAAAATAGTCCACCAGTAACGGGAGAAATCCAAGCTATCGACGGTCAGGGCTCCAGAGAAAGGAATTTCCGGACAATAGCGCCGTGTCCAGAAGTACTGCTTTCTGCATCAGGCCCTTGACCAAACCATTTCACGTTAGCCTTCTCAGGTGTTGATAGGCTTTTAGCAATGAGGCCATAAATATTTTCAAAAGTCAAAAAGTTAAAGTCAAAATCATGTATTTCAATTAGACCAGGAAGGCACTTTTGAAACATTAACAACAAAAATTTAGAAGTGAAGCTAGTTGCTCATTCCAATGTGTAGATTCCTATGGAGAAGAACAAGCAAGAAACTCCATAGGTTACTATTTTTCAATCGGGTTTACATAGAATATCTAATTCACATTTAATATCTAATTATTATATATGTAAAAGACAAGCGTCATAATATATATGTAGGTAATAATTCTTCCAACTTTTTAGCAGGGCAATTAATTTTTTTCTGCCGAAATATATCTGTCAAGCACAAGGGTGTTACCCCATGTAACAGAACGCCGAAATACGAGGTTTTATTCCCGGTTTGTGTAGTACACACATTAATCTTATGTCGGATGGGGGTGGGTTGGTAATATTTTTTTTTGTGAATTTGTCGCTTATTATCATGATAATGTTGCGGTTATTATTGCTTTGGGGTCTGTTGATATCAATTGGGGGTTGGGGGTCTTGTTTTTTATCCATAGACAATATGCTTCTCATTCATTGAAGCAGTTTTGCATAATTAGTTAGAAAATCTTTGGTGTAACCCTGACGAAGGTAGGGTTGTTTTAAAATGATAGAAGATTTCATTTCGTGGAAATATTTATTATAGGTAATACAATACTCTAGATGGTCCAATAAGTCTCCTTCTTCCCAAAATGCTCGATTTTCTGACCGTATCTAAGTGTCTTCGGCAAGTTAAAATAAATAATATTAATAACTCAATATCTCGATACCCAACAAAGAAAGGAATAGAACACCTAATGTCATGTTAAGACATGTACACTTAATATGTATGATTGAATTATGTATCATAATAACAAATGGAACTGCCATCATTAATACCATATT